AAGATACGGTCCTGCGAATGGTGATAATATAAAACCAAAACGGTTCTGCCGTTTTGTTCCCGACCAGTCGGAGTCGGAAGGCACCGTCAAGGCCGGAATTGCTCCGGCCGTTTGGGATTCCGCTCAAAAGCTCGAGGGCCGCTTGAGGCCGCTTAGGGCCGGAGAAGTGTGGGGCCGGGTTGGATTCCATTATGTATCTCTTACGCAACGTAAACCTTGGATCGTCAGCATCATTCTTGTTGAACTGTGAGAGAGAGACTTTGGCTTCTGCATTTTATCTCCTCGCCTTTTTTGGTTTCCGACAACGAGAAGGGGTTACTAAAGCAAAAAGGGTTCCGGAGACTTGGACCGCCGTGCAGCAGGCATATCCTCAGAATGACGTCTACAGAGATATTGGAGATACAAGACGTTGTTACTCCCGAGTTCAGGTCTATCTAGGGATTCTTTTTCTCTCTGCGAGTGCGTATGGGAACGGCCCTTCCCTCATCTATCGGGAGTCTTTGTTGGACACGGGTCGGTCGCGTGAATCACAATCAGCTAGTCAAGCCATGTGCTGGCCCTGCATCGTGACAAAGACAAGCAGCCAAGCCTCCCAGGTGACGGGAGATGGTGGCTAGCTGGCCAGATTGCAACTTCTCGAGGCCGGAATGGATTCCGGCCACGGCCTATATAGGCGCACTTCTTTTATGGGTCGCTGAGCCTAATGTTGATTCCTCCAACCCAGGAACCATCTCAGTCAACAGTCCATGTCCATTACTTGACATCCCCATATACAGCCTATATCTCCCTTTGACCCATCCCTGAAGCAAGAAGAGTCACACAAGACGTCAAGATGGGCTCATTGGAAGACAGCACAGCCAACTTCACGGTACTGGACGACCCCAAGCCCGAAGACATGTCCCTCCCGGCCTTCATGGTGTCCACGACTCGGGGGTTTCTCCCCCGGATGGACCCCATCGTGTCTCTCCCTCCTGACTTTGACCCCCTGGAGTCCCTCCTGCAGCGCATGCCCGTCAAGACGCTGTCCGGGGAACCAGGACTCCTCGCCCAGGGGAAGCTCGGCGACGCCGTGACTGCGGAGCTGCCCGACCTGACCGACCATGTTGACAAGTACAAGCACAACCTGCCCCTGATGAACGCCCTCTACCGGGACTATTCCTTTCTCGCGTCGGCGTATCTGCTAGAGCCGTGCCATGAGCGCTTCGTGCGCGGGGAGCCGTATGGTCTCGGACGCCAGGTGTTGCCGGCCAATATTGCGAGACCAATTGTGCGATGTGCTGAGCTGTACGTCTCTTTCCTCGTCATTACTGTATTCTTCCCATATTAAATGTCCCCTTCACCACTCAATGACGACCAGAAAAGTGACTCGAACAACTCCAACCCCTTACAGTTGCGAGTTCAAGCCCTTCATGGAATACGCCGGCTCCTACGCCCTCTTCAACTACCGCCTGGCCGACCCGTCCTTAGGGCTCGAATACTCCAATCTGCGCCTGATCCGAGCCTTCGAGCAAGGTCTCGACCCGTCCTCGTCCGAAGCAGGCTTTGTGCTCGTGCACGTCGACATGGTGAAGAACTCTGGCCCTTTGGTCGCCGGGGCAGTAGCATGCCTCGACGCCGCCGCCTCTTCCTTGTCCTCTTCATCCTCATCTTCATCATCAACCCGCCACCACCCTCGTGCCGCCCTCAACACAGCCCTCAACACCATCCTCACCTCCCTGCGGCGCATCAACGCCGTCATGGAATCAATGTGGACGCGCTCCAAGCCGCGCTCCTACACCAGCTTCCGGACCTTCATCTTCGGCATCACCGCGCAGAGCATGTTTCCCGACGGCGTAGTCTACCAAGGCCTTTCGTCTCCATCCCCACCATCTCCCCCAACGAAATTTTCTTTCAGGGGCGAATCCGGCGCCAACGACTCCATGATCCCGCTCGTCGACAACCTCCTGCAGATCGCCATGCCGGCCACACCGCTGACCGACATATTGCTTGATTTCCGGTCGTACAGGCCGAGCAACCACCGCGCGTTCCTGGGGTGGGTGTATGCGCGGAGTCGGGCCCTAGGACTAAAAGAGTGGGCTCTTCGTCTTGATCATCATCATCATCATCATCATCATCATCATGATTCGAACGATACGACAGATGAAGAAGAAGAAGAAGGCGATGATGTAGTAGAGACACGCCGCCTGTGGCTGCAGATCCTGAACCAAGTCCGCGACTTCCGGTGGCGGCATTGGTGTTTCGCGCGCGAGTACATCCTCAAGCAGACGCAGCATCCCACCGCCACGGGCGGCAGTCCCGTAGTAACCTGGCTGCCGAACCAGCTGCAGGCGGTGATGGGCGAGATGGTGGCGCTGTATGACGCTTCTTCTGGAGGAGACGAGGATCTAGGCCAGGAGTGCAGGGAAATCATAGAGCTAGTAATGCGGCAGCGGGAGACGCTCGGCAGGGAAGTAAGGAAGTTTTACGAGGAGCGGGGGGTTGCTGCTGCTGCTACTGATGAGGGTGGGAATTGAGTGCCCGTAGGGGATAGGAATTAGGTATGTAGAGTATGGGTGAGGAGATGGTTAAAGCCAAATAGGGGGGCTCTGGACCTTGAGAGCTCTTTCTTCGACTCAGTAATTACATGGAAGTGAAAATCCAACCAGAGATTGATTAGAGAAGAGGAAAATGTAAGTAGCTTTAGACAATGCAGATAATCTAGAGTAAAACAGGAAAAAAATAACAAGACAAAACGCCTGCTTTATGCTCCAAGTGACCACCATAATTCCCGACGTGTGAGATAAATGCATGGAATAGTACTCACAAAATATGTGAAACGTTTTCGACACCGAAAAGGGACGAAGAATGATCACGAAGAGATCCAGCAAACTGCCAGTAATAGTCCCAACAATACCGTCCCAGCAGCCGGCCTTCTATCCGCCGCCGCACGACTCCCCGGAAGCGCCTTGGCCACCGTCGCCGTGCCTGCCGTGGCAACCGACGAGCAGCTGGCGGTGCCGCAGCTGTAACCCGACGGACAGCAGCCCGGGAGTGGCCCGGCATCGCTCCCGCAGAGAAACCAACCGCCTGCACACGACGTTGTCGTCGCCGCGGGAACGCCACTGGCGGGGACTACGACGGTGATGCCGTTGCCGTTGATGATGGTCGTCAGGGCGATGGGCGGGCAGCTCGTCGTCTGGCAGTCGCGCCCTGTCTGGCAGCACCCGCCGCCCGCCGTGGCGAGGCATGGGTAAAACCCCGTTGGGCAGTACGTGTTGGTTCCGCTGGCAGTCGGCGAAGAAGAGGTGGGGCGGAATGGTGCGCCGGCATCAGAGTCGGTGCTGGTGGTGGTGGTTACCGGGGTGGAAGGGGAGGTAGAAGGTGAGATAGAGACGACCTTGGTGGTGGTGCTCGTTGCTGGGGGAGCTTGGGATGGCGTGATAGTCACGACAACCGTGACGACGACGGTGGACGGCGCGGGCCCGGCGATGACCGACGTGGATGTGCTCGTTATCGTGGTGACGCCCGTAGGTGTCGGCGCTGGCACAGATGAGGAAGAGGATTGGACGCCTGTGTGTATAAGTGTTAGTGCCCCGTTACACCTGAGAGAGAAACAGGCCACAGGGAATAAAAAGAACTTACAGCCCACGCCTGCACAAACAAACCCCGGGATGCAGCACCCGCCGCCAATCTCGGACGCGCACGCCGTGCTGCCGCTCCCACACACCGAGACGCCCCCGCTGCACGCCGTCCCTGCCGGACAGCAACCCACGTCGCCCAGCCCCGTGTCCGTGACCTTCATGCACGTCTCGCCCGTCTGGCAGCAGCTGTTCGGCCGCCCTATGTTCGCGCAGCTTGCCGTTCCTGTAGGGCACGCCCACTGACGCCGCTCCAGCAGGGCCAGCGCCTCCGCCGCCCGCCGGAAGAGCTCCCATCTGCCCGCTCTTGTCCTCTGCCCCTCCTCCTCGTCCCCTTCTTCTGCGGCGTCTAAGTGCGGCGCAAAAGGCGGCCGGTACCGAATCTCTGCCGACGCATTGGCTGCCAGCCGCCGTGCGTCATCCTCCTCAAAGACGCTTCGCGCCGCCACGGCTAGCGGCTCTTGCGCTGCTGGGGTGAAGCGGTCGAGGTCAGGGAAAGCGCAGTACTCGTGGAAGAACTTGGCGCCTTGGTCGGGCGACATTTTCCGAATAGCCGTAGGGAGGAGCTGCTGCTGCTGTGTCTCCCGGGCCTCTATTTGAGCCGTTATGAGGAGCCATAATGACAGTGGTAGGATGTGCATTTTGGTGTTTATTATGGATGTTCGTTTGCTCAATCAAGGGGGCGCGGTTCTTCGGAGGATGCAATCGAGCGGCTAGAATTACGGGATTGTCTGTGAATGATAGTGTCCCCTTGGACAGCGCTATCGAGCAATTGCGCTAATTGCTCGTTGCCACTGCTGTCGCCGACCGAGGGTGGTGATGATGGTGATGTCCAGTTTGTTGACAATCGACATTGAGCTGGGCTGGACTGGCTCTAGCGTAGCCAACAGCGCGCGGAAGGCACGCGAGGCCTACTAGTTTCGGTGGCGCCAACGGGGCTGAAAGAAAATAAATTTAGGGGTGGCCCCCCCTGGTCGATCGATGTGCGCTGCACTATTTGTTGACATGGAACCGACCTCCTGTAAGTGTCAACTCTACGAGCAACAAATTGCCCGCCAGGTAAATCTGTAGGGAGAGTATTGAATTCCAGCCAGTTCTTCACTTTCGCCTTGATTTTGGCTAGTTACATTTTTATAATTGTTATGATAAATTGATGATATGCTCATATGAACATTTTTTCTGATGTTGGCCCGTAGCTTGTTATAAAGATGCCCCGTCTTTGCATCGCCCACCAGAGTTCAGTGCACTTGTTGCGAATGCCCAAAACCATCGTTGGGAGTTTTTTGCCAGTTTTAAAGGGGAAGGAACGAGGAGCAAAGAAAATATGGCAGCCACATGGCAAATCCCAGCAAAAAGAGGGAAAGAACCAGGGCAAAAAAGTGTTGCTTCCCGTGAGATTCGAACTCACGACCTTTGGATCGCTCTGAAGTTTATCCAGATCACAAACACATTTATGAGACCAACGCTCTAACCAGCTGAGCCAGGGAAGCTTGTGTTTTCGATGAAGGTTTCGGGCGGAAATGGCGAAGAGAGATGGTAGGGCAAGACCTAGGAGATCTTGGGTGTTGATCGGGTGCGGTTATAGGCGATGTGGGGTGCATGTGGGGCGGCTAAGCGGGCAGCGAATCTTATTCAAGTATTGTCGTGAAAAGACGAAGCAACAGAAACCATCATGAGATCACTTACCGTGCTGTTTCTCTGCTAGAGGATCTCTTTTGTGATACAAATTTTCTTAACAGGTTCATACTATTTCTACCTCCCACCTAAAGCTGCCTGAGAGCCCAAGATGTCCCTGCACCCTGAATCTGGACCCTGCGTGGGGAGCCAACCTGAAGATCGTCACCGTCGATGCAGCCACTTGAACCTTGGAGCAAGTGTATCAGTGTATTTTGCCAACGGCGAGCCTAGACCTGCAGATCTTGGTTGGATACTAAAAATGTCATTGCATATATGGGGCATTCTACTGATACATAAAAGTACATTTATTTTTATATTCTACAACCCTCTCTCCATTATATCCTTTTAGAGATGCGATATTGTACAGGACAGCAAGATTTACAAGGTTGTTTTGATACATGAGTCCCAGCCTCCTGGGTCTCCTGGAAAAGATAGGACCTGCACCCTTTGTCTACCACAGAGCCGTCTTCTGCTTCTCCTCTTTGATAATGTCAAACTGCGCCTTCACCTGCCCGCGCATGAATGCCGAGCACAGTAGGCCGGTCGCGACGCTGACATTGAGCGAGTCGACGGCCGCCGATCCCGACAGGTTGGGGATGTTGACCTCATAGTCCGCCTTGTTCTTGACGAGGCGCGAGAGGCCCTCGCCCTCGCTGCCGATGAGGAGGATGCAGGGCTCCTTAGACAGCGGGTCCATGTCTTCCACCTCGTGCATGTCGAGGTGGCGGTCCTGCTTAGACCTCGCCGTCGGGGGTACCGCGGCGTAGACACTCCAGCCGTTCTCGCGCGACTCGGCGAGGAAGGTATGCAGCGAGCTGATAGAAAACAGGTGCAACGTCTCTGAGGCGCCGGATGACGCTTTCAGTGCCACCGGCGTCAGCGATGCCGAGCCTCGCTTGGTGATGGCCACCGCTGTCGCGCCCAGAAAGCTGACGGTGCGGAGGATGGAGCCCAGGTTGCCAGGGTCCAATACTTGATCGAGCACCACCACGAGCGGCTTGTGCGTCTGGCTGGAGCTACCGACAAATGTCGATGATCCATTGACGGCGAGCTCTTCGGCCGACTGATGCGCCACGTTGATCTGGTATCCGGGCTTGCCGTCCTCCTCGGCGAGCGGCCCTAACCCTGTCAATGGAGCCTGCGGCAACGGCGAGGCCTCGAGGACGTAGCCATTGTGCGGGCGCCCGCCGCTCATCTTGTCAAGAAGCTGGAGGCCGGACGCCTCTTCGACCACGGTGGACTCTATCCCCTTTCTACGAGCGAGAGCCTCAATGACCAAGTCGCGGTCAGGGTTCTGCCGGTTCGAGCCGCCGTAGATATACAGGTGGTACAGCTTCCGCCGCGAAGATTGCAGTGCCGCATCCACAACCGACCGCCCGTACAGGAATTGTGATGCTGCGGTGGTATATTTGACTGTAAGTGGTTGCTGGATTTTCCACGCTCTGAAGCGGTTCTCGCGCGATGAGCCTCCGTCGTCGTAGTATGTCGACGAAGACCCGTATGAAGGCCGAGCCTGCTCTGAGCCTTCTGCGAGATCAGAGCTGGGTCTTGTGCTCGATTGACGGTCCGACCTGTCAAACGAGGAGGATCGAGGCGCCGCTCTGTCTGAGCGTCCCCCGGAGCCGTAAGAATCCCTGGGGGCGACCCGGCCTCGACGATCTGATGATCCAAACGAAGCCGATCGTGACGGCCTCTGCCCTGAACCCCCCGAAGATCCCGAAGTGACTGTTCCATCCCAGTTCTGCGGAGCACTCTTTGCGGTAGGCGCACGGGTTACTGCGCGTCCCATGATCTCCAGTGTATCAAAGGAGGCTCGGGGTGCAGATTTTTGCGGACGTTCTACGGCTTCAGGTGTTGAGCTCTGCGGGCGTTGTATAGTTTCAGAAGAAGCCTGAGGAGTGGTCCGCTCTGGGCGGGCAGCCGTCTCCGAGGGTTGGTCCAGAGCCCAGGGAGGAGTCCATTCTGAACGCGGTATAGCAGCCCGAGATGACAGCCGCTCAGAACGCTCTCCCGACTCCGTAAAAGTTCTGGGGGTAAACGATCGTTCTGAGCGTCCTCCAAAACCGGAGGAGCTCCTTGGTCCCCATTCTGCGCGCCCTCCTGAAGCAGAAGAACCTCTTGGCACCCGTGGCGCCCACTCTGTCCGCCCTAAACCAGAAGAGCCTCTTGGTGTCCGTTCTGACCGCTCCGAGCGGTCTCCCGACTCGGGGGCGGTTCTTCGGGCCCAAGGGGTTCGTTCCGGGCGATCTGACTCTCGATCGCCACCGAATGAGCGGAAGCCGCCTCTAGAGCCTCTAGGCTCTCCACCGCTTCTCCCTCTGGGACTTTTGCCGTTGCCAAAGCCTCCACGCCCAAAGCCTCCACGAGCCGCCGATGGAGTGTCAAAACTGCGACTGGGCCGGGAACCAGAGTCAGGTCGAGATGATCGACCAAGGGCTTCCCTGACTAGCCCATCATCCAGCTTGCCAGTTTTCAACTGGTGTCCAATGCTCTTCTTCGCAAAGCTGGAGTCCTCGTCGTAAAACCGGGCCCGCCGAGTCGTGGGCTTGGCCTTTGTTGGGTAGTCGGTGATATCCTTTTTGCCCTTACGAATCTTGAAATCAGGGTCAGACGTTGCGGCCCTGGCAGCTTGCCGCTGGGCATAAGTCAGTCCATCTCCAGTTTCGGCTGGCTTGTTCCGGAAACCCTGCGGCCGGGCTTTCTCTGACCGACGGATGCCCTTGTGAATGGTAGAGAGTGAGGCATAACTCCTTGAAAACCGGGATATCGTTGCCGCTGGCGTTAAGTTCACCAATACTGCTGGTCTCACGGCCCGGTGGAGCACAAGGAGTGCCATAACTAGCTGTCGTCCGTTAAGGGCGCTAAGCCCGGACTTGTCTTCCTTTTAACCAAGCCTCAACCGTCTATTTTTTGGGGAATCGATGGGATCCTTTGGAATGTCCTTAGAAGTGACTGGGTTTCCTCAGAGCTCCAAGACAAATCGAATGAGAAATATATCTGAGTCAAGTTTGGTCACTGAAGCTGGTTGGATTTGAGCGTCGAGGTCCAGGAGGTGGTTTGGTGGATGATAACGAGAAAAGCCGGGATTCGAGATGAGTGAGATAATTATTCCCGTACAAAACTCGATTTCATCCTCTAAACGTCGAGCCTGCTATATTATGGCGATAAAATGAGTGTGTTGTGCTTAAAGGTGAAGAGATACCAAAGGAAAAGTCCTGCAATCAATCTCGCTCAGCCAAGACCCTTGGACAGAAAAAAGTCGGGTCCCTCCTAAACGACCCTGCATAAGTGGGGACATCCTGGACTCGCCCTATTCTCTAGGGCAGCTCCAGCCAATGACAGAAGCTAGACGCCATACCCCGAGGCACCCTGCTGGCCTGCACTCCGCTGGCACGCCTTATCGAAGCCGATAAACGCGTACTTTCTTGGTGGGCGCGTTTCCCTCACAAAGGCGACATGCTTCCAGTCCCGATTGACAGCGCCCACGACATCGACACGCGTGTTGACTTTTGTCTAAGAGCTCGTCACAGGTATGCGACCCAGGAAATGCGAGGTTTATTAGATTACTGACATGTTCCATCCTCTCAAGTTAGGCAGCCCGACGACCAACCCCACTCGAGACCGCCACCCCGAGTCCTGTATCCAATGGCGAAGGATGCAAGCTCAGACGATGAGCTCGTGGATGGCATGGCATTGGAGCCAGCTGCATACGAATTTCAGTCTGACCTCTCTGACAACGAAGACTCGGCCCCTCTCGCAGCCTCTCCCCCCCACCGTGTCATCAATGGCGTTGCCAATGGTCCCGACGACATGGTGTCCTATGCCTCCGAACCCGGAACCCAAATATACGAAGAAGCGCATTCACCTAAACGACTGCGGTCCAGTACCGCGACGAGTACTCGTGCAAGCAGCGTTACCAACCACGCCAAGATCGTCCATATCGATGTCACTTTGCCGTGGGTGCCGCCGAAGAAACGGGCCAACTTTGTGTATATCGATGTCGCGGATGATATTGATGAGCTTGCGGGAGGAGATAACCACCACAAGTCTCGGAGGCGAAAGCACATGGTAAGCGCAGCTATATATACGACGGTTTCGTTTCCATTTCGCATCCCCAGTTCCTTCACCCGGTCCACATGAACCAAAAGATGGGGTCCCGTGAAACAACCCCATTGGGGCGCAAGGTGTTTACTCTAGCTCTTCCTGGGCCACGGGGTTGTAACTCTTGCATAGTCTGTAGAGATGTTGCAATCACAGAGCGCTCTATTATAAATGCAGAGAGTACCTTTGTGAGAGGTCCTTCTCTTGGACGAGGTTTCTATGGCAGACAAGAGTGGCAGAGTGCAGTGTAAGGCTCAGCTGGTTCAGGAGATATGTGTATCCAGTACCTATTTCTCGGCGTCTTCCTGTACCTTCCGTTTTCACGCGATTTGCAAGTCAAGCAACCAGCTCAGTTCTGGAAGCTTCGAGTGCGGCTTTCGAGTGCTGCTGTTCTGTGGAAAAGTGTACCGCAACCAATCTCCTACCTCGCAGAGAACAACCCTCCTCTACCTAACCCCATCCGCCACACACTTTTCACACTTCCGCTGAAACCCCTCTCCCACAATTCTTTCCTCCCTTACCCATTTCAACATCTCGTCCTGCACCTCAATCAATCTCGCGGGACTACGACCGAAATGGGCCGCTCCTCTTGAAGCTTTCTTCTTTGTTGACAACGGCATTCGCTTCCATCAGACGCATTTCTCGACAGCCCACCTTCGGATTTCATTCGGAAAGAGGGCGCCAACGAACCCGATATGGTATGAAATGCCCA